AGTCAAGTAGCTCAACAACGAGGGCAGACGCAGCAGCAGAATCAAAAGAAGGGTCAGTGACAGCAGTGGCGAGGAGACGAGAGAAAGTGGGACTGGCAGCACGAGCGCGGTCAGACCCAGGGTCAGGGACCTCAGGAAGAGAGGACTCAGGAGGAGTAGGCAGAGGAACACGCAGTGGAACAGAGGAAGGACGGAGTGTCATAGTGTGCGTGCAGGGGACAAGAGGAGGACGCGAACGAGGAACGCGACGAGCAGTGCGAACAGGCGAGACAGGATGAAACGCAGGCTCACGACGCTCTGTAAGACCGCCAGACTGCTCAGGCGGTGGACACAGAAGGGGAGGAGTAAGGCCAGTTGAAGATGGGACACCAAGAACCTGCTGAAGCAGGGGAACAAAGTACGGTCGCGGCCGCACAGTGTCTCTAGTACCTCCAGCTCCAGGGCCTCCAGCTCCAGCACCACCAGCGCCAGTTCCTCCAGCTCCAGCAGTAACTCCAGCACCTCCAGCTCCAGCGCCTCCAGCTCCGGTAGCTCCACTCCGAAGGCGTGCGTGCCGAACAAACCACTCACGCAGCTGCTCCGGAGACAGTCGCGTCGAAGCACCAGCAGAACCTCCAGACGAAGCAGCACCCCGAGGCTCAGCACCCCCTGACTCCACACCCTCCGACTCAGCACCCCCAGGCTCAACACCCCCAGGCTCCACACCTGCAGGCTCAGCACCGCCAGGCTCCTCACCCCCAGGCTCAGCACCCCCAGACCGAGCACCCTCAGACTCCGCACCCCCTCGCTCCGCACCCCCAGACGCAACACCCCCAGACGCAGCACCTGGAGGAGCACCTGAGCCAACAGCTACCTGAACAGGCGCAGTACCAAGGAGAGGGTCTTCCTGAGACACACCCGAGGGAGCAGGACCCTGGGGCGGGAGGGGGTCTACCGGAGGAGGACCGGGAGCAAGGAAGAGCGGCGGGGGCGGGGGAGGGGCAGAGCGGTAGGGGAAGAGACGGTAGAAGGGAACCGACTCGTCAAACGTGACGTCCTGAGAGGGGAAGACATGGCGCGAGGTGGGGTGGTAAAACTGCCAGCCAGGCGCGCCAGGGACAAAGCCAAGGAAGACGCAGGGAATAGCGCGGGCGGAGAGCTTGTCCGCGGACGTAACACAAACAAATGCACGATAACTCAAACCCGGAACACCATCGCATCGCCAACCTCCCCTGTCCAATGCACTATCGGCGAGGTCTCCGACAAGGAGACACGGGGCCAGAGGTTGAGCTGATGCGCAGCGTACCGGACCGCAAACGGCCACAGAAAATGGGGAGCGGCCGCATGGATCATGGAGGTACGAGCGACCTCCATGACTAAGCCAATGCGGCCCAGGGAGTGGTGACCCAGTCGCTGGTGCCACAGAAGAGTCTAGTGCGACAGGAGGCGACACGAGCAAGGGGGTGCTACCTGACCTGACGCGGACACCTGAGCAGACGCAGCTACCCGAGGAGGCTCGGTAGCGAGTGTGTACAGACTCTACCCTGGCCGACCAGTGAACGTGGCCAGCTAGCGCCCCATCCGTGTGCACGTGCAGATCGACACACGCTGACCCCCAGGAGTGGTGGTAGTGACCATTGCATCCTGGAGGGCAGCGGTACTCACCAAGTTCGTAGAGAACGAGGGGAGGTGAAGACCGGATAGTGAGCCGGACGGAACCGCGAGACACGGGAGGATAGTGGAGGAACGGGCCACGACCGGGTCCCCAGAGGGGTCAGCCAGTCGGACCGGGACAGGTGCAGAGAGAGGAGTGAGAGTGGTGCTATCACGAAAGAAACAAGCAGAGGCGCCTGAGTCCTCCGTGAAGGTGTGCAAGGCCTGAGAATGCGCAGTACCATGGAGAGTACCAGACTCACTAGCACCTAGCGCAGCAGCAGCTATACGTGGGTCAGGCGGCAGACAAACAAAGCATACATAGCAAAAAGAATAGCATCAAATTGTAGGTCAAAGATAGCAATCCTAGACCTAAGCATATCTGCCCAGCGAGGGAGCTCGGCGTCATCACCAAACTCAGCACGCCAAGCATCGTCGAGGCGGTAGAAGCAGCGGTGCTGAGTGTGGAGCCGCCCGCACGTCTGACCAGCACGGTCACCTGTGCGAATGACATATGGGCAGCTACCACTACCCCAAGACGCCCCACACTGCAAAAACCACTCACGAAGCTGCTGGGGCGACTGGGTCTCGCTGCGACGCTGCTGCTGCTGACGCTTACCACCTCCAGAACCAACAAGCCGAGCGCCAGTCCCACCGCCACCAGTCCCACCGCCGCCACTACCGCCACTCCTACCGCTGCGTCCACCGCCTCCACCAGAACCCTCACTCCCTCCACCAGTCCCACCGCCGCCACCAACCCCACTGTTGCCCCCACCACTACCTCGCTGCCACCTCCTCCACCACCGCTGCCACCTCCACCACCCCTGCCACCCTTGCCCTAGCTGCTGTGGCGCTTCGCACTAGTAGAAGCAGCCCCAACGTCCTCAGGAACAGAGACGTCTGCAGCAGCAGCAGAGCCGTAGGAGGGGGGAGGGGGATCACCCCTCAAAGAAGGGCGGGCGTGGATTGCCACGAGCAGCACCTACAGCAACCGCACTAGTCTCAGCGACAAGGAGATGCTGCTCGAGGAGGTCAACAGTGAGGGAGGTGGGGTCAAGAGAGAGAAAGTGGTCCCTGACAGAGCGAAGAGAGTCAAGAAGGCGAGTGACTATGAAGTAGAGGGTGATGAACATCGAGGGCTGGTTCCTGTCAAGGAACTCAGCGGGGGCGGCAGCGCGGTAGCGAGCGTCGCTAGCGCGAAGGTGGGAAACGAGGTCCTCGACTGTGGCAAAGGCGGACAGCTCGGGGAACAGGTAGGGCAGAAGCAGGCGGCCTAGAGCAGCAGTGGCAGGGGAGGAGTAGCGAGCAACTACACCGTCGTACAGTGCCTGTGCGGTCCTGTGCTGTCCAAAGTGAGCGCATTCGGCTTACGGCAGGTGGTTGCGAATGGCCTGGGGGGCAGCAGTGTCGCGAGAAAGCCACTGTGAGCGAGTCGCACTGTCAGCTGTGGCGGGAGGGGCAGTAGTGGCACCGGACACGTGGTCAAATAGTGAAACGCTGTCCTTAATATCGCTTAGTAGGTACAGCTGCAGGTCGTCGAGCCATGTGTCGAACTGCACCGGTCTACCTTCATGGTCGAACGCGAGAACTCGAAGCGAGGCCATAGTGGCACAGTAAGCAGGAGCAGCAGTAGCAGCAGAGGCAGAGAGGCCTGGGACCTAGGGGCCGAGGGGCCAAACACGAAGTGGTGGGGGGGGGGGGCCAAGGGGCCGAGGGGCGTGGGGCCTAGGGGCCGAGGTGCCGAGGGGCCTAGGGGCGGGGCCGAGGGGCCAAGGGGCCGAGGGGCCAAGGTGCTGAGGGGCCAAACACGAAGTGGGGGGGGTCGACGGGCCAGGGCGCGGGCTAGAGGTCGACGGGGCCGTGGCGCGGGCTAGGGGTCGACGGGGCCGTGGCGCGGGCTAGGGGTCGACGGGCCGGGGCGCGGGCTAGGGGTCGACGGGGCCGGGCGCGCGGGATAAGGGTCGACGGGGCCGGCGCGCAGGCTAGGGGTCGACGGGTTGGGCGCTAGGGCTAGGGGCCGACGGGCCAGGCGCTAGGGCTAGGGGCCGATGGGGCCGGGGTGCGCGGGCTAGGGGCAAGGGGCCGGGACGACGAGCCTAGGGGCGCTCTGGCTAGGGCCTACGGGCCGGGCTAGGAGCGACGGGCCTAGGGGCGACGGGCCAAGGGGCGATACGAGGGTCGCTAGGAGCAGTGCAGTGATGGGCCAAAAAAAAAACGGTCCTAGCGGAGGACCTGCTCTGAAACCATGTCAAGCGAATGAACGAGAATGAATGAACTAGCAAAGAGTTGAGTACAAGTACTAACCCTAATTGGGTTGTACCCCTTATGGGCTACCCCACTATAGCCTACACAATATAAGCTATGTATAAGTTTGACACCTTACACTACATAACATTTGCTCGTTCCTTCTCTTAATGTATTGTTTTGCTTTGATAGTGCAATCTTAGTTGGGTCTCTCAATTGCACACGTAAAAGCAGCTGATATTGGCCCTTCACAAGAACCTGAAACACACGTGTGCTGAGCCGAACCTACGAACACATGCTTTCAAACCCCCTCGCAACATATGTTTCCCATAGTCGTGAACGTAGCTCTTGAAAAGCACACCCTCTCGCAACTCTGACGATAGCGGAGGGTAATTTTCCGAAGCACGATTCCTTAATGGAAGAAGGAAAGGGAGAGGCAGGAGGGGAGAGAACGAGAGGTACGGAGGAGAAAGCAAGTCTAGTTGGCAATGCCTGAGATAAGAATAAAGTTGAAGGGGGGAAGAATGACGCAGAAAGAGAACCGAAGCGGCTGAAATTGGAGGCAGGAGCGTCGGAGGAAGCAAAAACAGTGGGACAAGCAGTCGCAGAGACGGCGGCCGATGGCGAGAAGGGGGACGACGCGGTCGCAAAGAGAGAGCGCAACCAAAAACACTATAAGAAGAAGAAGGTGGCGCTCTTTATCGCGTACTGCGGCGCGGGTTACCAGGGCATGCAGCGCAACCCTGGGGCGCGCACGATCAATGGGGAGTTGGAAAAGGCATTGTATCGAGCAGGGGCCATACTGGAGAACGACCTGGGGGACTTCTGGAAGATCGACTAGATGCGATCCGCGCGCACCGACAAGGGTGTGAGCGCGCTCGGGCAGGTGGTGTCCGTGCGCCTCGTGTTGGACCCCCCGGGCTTCGTGGATCGAGTGAATGAGCATCTGCCGAAGTAGGCGAGCGCCTTCACGTTGCCATTTCTCGTGGGCCCCACGCATTGTCAGTGTAGGGCATAAACCCCAAACCCCAAACCTCGCTCTAGTGCTACTGTTTACCGATGTTTACCGAGATGTGTCGTAGCTCAGCTGCACCGCCTTGCGTGGCACCTGCTTCCGACTACCAATGCGTTTCTTTTTCCGTCCTGTACCCCATCCCTCATTTCATTCCCCTCAACCCACACCCTCAACCCCTCCCCTGTCCCCTTCTAAAACTTCCGTCCACCTTCCCCGTGCCATCACCAGGTGCGGCTGCTGGGCTTCGTTAAAGTCACAGCAGGGTTCAATGCCAAGGACCAGTGCGACCGGTGCAGGTGCGTGCGTGACTAGGAACAAAGGATTGTGGCAACTGCAGGCGAGCCACTGCAATGAATGTTTTGCCAATGTGTTAAGCATGTGTGTGGCGATATCAAGGGATTGTCACTGTGGCGTGTGCTTCGAATAAGACATCTACAGCAGATGTAGAAAAAAACAATGTTTCAACAGCGTGGATGGTGTGACGCGCCCTCGCTGCTCTCTTCCCTCGCCTTCCTCCACCAGACATGCCCCATCCTCTATCCTTCCCACAAATCTCAAAAAGCTTCTCAAACCCTTCCTCCACCTCTTCCCCATCCCATGCTCCACCTCCTCTTTCTCATCCTCATCCTCCTCATCTTCCTCAACCTCCTCTTCATCCTCCTCCTCTGCCTCCTCCTCCTCCTCCACTCTTACGAGGAGTAGTGGCCCATCCCCCTTATTCCTCTCCACCATGCTTGCACACTCTGCTCCCATTCCCCTCCCCTTCTCCATACCCACTCCCCCTTCCACCTCCTCCCCCCACTGTCCCCTTCTCCCCCCTCCTCGTATGCACTCTCCTGCCCGGCCGTGCAGGTATGAGTACGTGATCCCCACGTTCTGCTTCAACCCGCTGGCGCACTGCGTCCGCGAGTACCTGTTGCGCATGGGGCTCCTCTCCCACCCGGGGGGCGGGCAGCACGGGCACGACGGGCACGACAGGCAGGGAGGGGGCGAGGCAGAGGGGACAGAGGGAGAGAAGGGGCCGGAGGGGAAGGAAGAGGGCAGGGCTGCAAAGGATTCTGCAGTTGCTGAAGGATGAAAGGGTGAGAAGGGGAAGGAGGATGGGGTGGCAACTGCTGATAAGTCATCCGAGGCTGCAACCAACACAAAAGAAGAAGAGAGCAAACCAACAGAAAAGCCAGAGGACAAGGCAGCAGAAGCACAAGACAAGCCCAAGGCCATCGCTCTCCCTGCCCCTCTTCCCGCCGTGTTCACCCCGCCGCCCTACACATTCGACTCGGCGGCTCTGGCGCGACTTAACCACCTGTTATCCCTCTTTGTGGGCATGCACTGCTTCCACAACTACACCGTGAAGGTCAGCACCAAGGACGCCACCGCCAAGCAGTACATCGTGTCATTTGCTGCGGAGGGCGTGACGCACGTGGAGGGCATGGAGTGCGTCAAGTGCGTGGTGGTGGGGCAGAGCTTCATGCTGCACCAGATCCACAAGATGGTCGGCATGGTGCTCGCCGTCATGCGCGGCCATGCTCCCGAGCAGATGCTCGTTGATGCCTTCCGCAGGTGAGAGACCCTGTGCGTGTTGCTCGCTCATGCTTGTGCTCTTGTGGGCTGGGCTTTGATGTGTGGGTGCGGGTTTGTGGAAGATGGCTTGCTGTGTGATGTGATGTGCTGCCATGATTCCCAGTTCTCCACAGCCTAGTGCCCCACAGCCCAGTGCCCCACAGCCCAGTGCCCCACAGCCCAGTGCCCCACAGCCCAGTGCCCCACATCCCCGTGTACCACCTCCGCTCTCCTCTCTACCCCTTGCCACTCGCGCCTGGGCGGCAGGGACAAGCGGTACAATGTGCTGCTGGCGCCGGAGCTGGGGCTATTCCTGGTGGAGTGCATGTTCCTCGCCTACAACAACAAGTGAGCCGCCTCGCACCCGGCCGTCACGCTGGAGCCGTTCAGAGAGCAGGCGGAGAGGTTCAAGGAGGAGGTGGTGTATCCGCACATTGTCGCCACCGAGCGCAAGAGCCACGTGTTTGCCACATGGCTGTCCAACCTCAACGACTGCAACTACCCGGATTTTGTGTTCGCAAGAGCTGAGGCCAATGGTCTGCTGGGTGGTGGTAGGCCTGGTGAGGCAAAGGGGGGAGTGGGGAGTGCAGAGGGGAGGGAGGGAGGTGCAGTAGAGAAGAAAGAGGGAGAAAGGTAGGGGGATGGGGTGGGGAAGGGGGGAAAACAAGATTGAAGGTTTTGTATTGCTCTTTTTTTTCATTTTTCCGTGAGCGCACACATGAATGCAGGCATGCATGCACACTCCACCAGAGGACTGACTGTCGTAACAGACGAACTACTTCCATTAGTACCGGTAATGCCGAATGCCGACTTCCAGGCCTACTGTATGTCATAATGTTATAGTGCTTACATTTGTGCAAGCTATAGTGGGGTAGCTCATAAGGGGTACAACCCAATTAGGGTTAGTACTTGTACCCAACTCTTTGATAGTTCATTCATTCTTGTTCGTTAGTTCTGACATGGTATCAGAGCAGGTCCTCCGTTAGGACCGAAGTTTTTTTTTTTTTGCCCACCACTGAGCTGCCCTGCTAGCGACCCTCGTTCCACCCCTGCTACTCCGCGCGCCGCCCTCGTGCGGCCAGCACGACGACCCCTAGCCCCGGCCCGTCGCCCGTCGCCCCCTAGGACCCGAACCGTCGCCCTTGGCCCCGTGGCCCGTCGCTCGTCGCCCCCACCTAGGCCCGGCCCGTAGCCCGTCGCCCCTCGCCCCACGGCCCGTCGCCCCTAACCTAGCCCCGGCCCGTCGCTCCTGGCCCCGCGGCCCGTCACCCCTAGGCCCCGCGGCCCGTCGCCCGTAGCCCCTAGGCCCCGCGGCCCGTTGCCCCTAGGCCCCTGGCCCGTCGCACCCTAGGCCCCCGGCCCGTCGCTCTCAGCCCTGCGGCCCGTCGCCCCTAGACCCCCGACTTGTCGCTCCTGGCCCCGCGGCAAGTCGCCCCTAGGCCCCGGGGCCCGTCGCCCCTAGGCCCCCGGCCCGTCGCTCTCGGCCCTGCGGCCCGTCGCTCCTGGCCCCGCGGCCCGTCGCCCCTAGGCCCCCAGTCCGTCGCCCCTAGGCCCCGCGGCCCGTCGCCCCTAGGCCTGCGGCCTGTCGCTCTCGGCCCCCCGGCCCGTCGCTCCTGGCCCCGCGGCCCGTCGCCCCTAGGCCCCCGGCCCGTCGCCCCTAGGCCCCGCGGCTCGTCGCCCCTAGGCCCTCGGCCCGTCGCTCCCGGCCCCGTGGCCCGTCGCTCCTGGCCTCGCGGCCCGTCACCCCTAGGCCCCCCGGCCCATCGCTCCTGGCCCCGCGGCCCGTCCCCCCTAGCCCCTGGCCTCACGGCCCGTCGCCCCTAGGCCCCGCGGCCCGTCGCCCCTAGGCCCCGCGGCCCGTCGCCCCTAGGCCCCCGGCCCGTCGCTCCCGACCTCGCGGCCCGTCGCTCCTGGCCCCGCGGCCCGTCGCCCCTAGCCCCTGGCCCCGCGGCCCGTCGCCCCTAGGCCCCGGCCCGTCGCCCCTGGCCCCGACACGTCGCCCCGCGGCCGCCCCTCCTACAGCCTGTTGCCTGCCCCTTTTCCTTGCGCTGCCCGGCCTCTGCCCGCCCTGCATGCTGCGCCACTATGGCTTCTCTCTGCGTTCTAGCGTTCGATCATGAGAGCCGACCGATTCAGTTTGACACGTGGCTCGACGAATTGCAGCTGTACCTACTGAGCGACTCTAGGGACAGTGTTTCGTTGTTTGACCACACGTCTGGCGCCGCTCCCGCCCCTCCCGCCACAGCTGACAGGGCGACTTGCTCACAGTGGCTTACTCGTGACGCTGCTGCTCGCTTAGCCATTCGCAACCACCTTCCGTTGGCCGAATGCGCTCACTTCGGACAGCATAGAACAGCACAGGCACTGTACGACGCTGTAGTCGCCCGTTACTCCTCGCCTGCCACTGCTGCTCTAGGCCGTCTTCTACTGCCCTACCTGTTTCCCGAGCTGTCCGCCTTTGCCACAATAGAGGACCCTTTTTCCCACCTTCGCACTAGCGACGCTTGCTACCGTGCTGCCCTCCCAGGAGAGTTCCTTGCCAAGAACCCGCCCCCGATGTACATCACTCTCTACTTTATATTCACCCGCCTCCCTGGCTCTCTTCGCGCTGTCAGGGACCACTTTCTCGCGCTCGACCCCACAGCCCTCACTGTTAACCTACTCGAGCAGCACCTCCTTGCAGCTGAGACTAGTGTAGTCGCTGTAGGTGCTGCTCGTGGCACTCCTTGCACACCCTTTTTTGAGGGGTTTTCCCCCTCCCCCCTTGCCCCCTCCTACGCCTCTGCTACTGCTGTTGACCTCCTTGGTGCTGAGGATGTCGGAGCTGCTTGCGCTAGGGGGAAGCACCACAACAGCAAGGGCAAGGATGTCACGGGTGGTGGAGGTGGCAGCAGGGGTGGTGGTGGGGGCAGCAGTGGAGGTGGCGGAGGCAGTAGAGGTGGTGGCAGCGGTGGGAGCAGTGGCGGTAGGACTGGAGCTCAGCGTGGAGGTTCTGGAGGAGGCCAGAGGAAGCGGCAGCAGCATCGGAGCGAGACCCCGTCGCCCCAGCAGCTTCGTGAGTGGTTGTTTCGTCGTGTGAGCTGCCCGTATGTCATTCGCACGGGTGACCGTGCTGGTTAAACATGCGGGAAGCCTCACACTCAGCACCGCTGCTTCTCCCGCCTCGACGACGCTTGGCGCGCTGAGTTTGGTGACGAGGTCGAGCGCCACCACTGGGCAGAGCTGCTTAGGTCTGGAGTTGCGATCTTTGACCGAGACTATGATGCTATCCTTTCTGCTATGTATGCTTTGTCTGCTAGTGCTGAGGGTGACTGTTACCTGTGTGTGCCGCCTGACCCAGGTATAGCGGCTGCTGCTCTAGGTTCTTGTGAGTCTTCTCTCCCTGGTACTGCGCCTGCTGAGGCCTTGCACACCTTCACGCTGTTTCTTTCGTGACAGCACCACCCTCACTCCTCTCCCTGCATCTGTCTCGGTCAGACTAGCTGACCCCTCCGGGGGCCCGGTCGTTGCCAATTCCTCCACTGTCCTCCCGTGTCCGGCGGTTCCGTCCGGCTCACTGTCAGGTCTTCACCTCCCCTCGTTCTCTACGAACTTGGTAAGTAGAAACGTAACACCTAGACTAACCTAAACAACACATATAAAATATATGTTGACACGCTGCCCTCCAGGACGCGATGGTCACTACCACCACTCCTGGGGGTCAGCGTGTGTCGATCTGCACGTGTACACGGACAGGTCGTCGCCTGGCCACGTTCACTCGTCAGCCAGGGTCGAGTCTGTACATACTCGCTACCGAGCCTCCTCAGGTAGCTGCGTCTGCTCAGGTGTCCGCGTCAGGTCAGGTAGCACCCCCTTGCTCGTGTCGCCTCCTTTCGGACCAGACTCTTCTGTGGCACCATCGCCTGGGTCACCCCTCCCTGCTACGCCTTTGTGGCATGCACTCCCGTCTCCTTGTCTCTGGTCTTCCCAGGTCTCTGCCTCCCCTCCCACCCTCGCCTGCCCCGCCCTGCCTTCCTTGCGTCGAGGGGCGGCAGCGCGCCGCTCCTCACTCCTCGTTTCCCCCGACGACTGCTCCCCTGCAGACTCTCCACGTGGACGTGTGGGGCCCAGCCCACGTCAGAGGACAGGGCCGCGAGCGCTACTTTTTGCTGGTTGTTGACGACTACACGCGGTACACCACGGTCTTCCCCTTGCGCAGCAAGCGTCAGGTCGTTGATGTCTTGATCCCTTGGATCCGCACAGTCCGTCTCCAGCTCTGCGAGCGGTTCCGTACGGACCTTCCTGTCCTATCTCTGCACTCTGTCAGAGGTGGTGAGTTCTCCTCCGACCTCTTGTTTTTGTCGTGGGAAGGGCATTCTCCTGTCGTTCACGCTTTCGGACTCCCCTCAGCAAAATGGGATTGCTGAGCGCCGCATTGGCTTAGTCATGGAGGTCGCTCGTACCTCCATGATCCATGCGGCTGCTCCCCATTTTCTGTGGCCGTTTGCGGTCCGGTACGCTGCGCATCAGCTCAACCTCTGGCCCCGTGTCTCCTTGCTGGAGACCTCGCCTACACTGCGTTGGATGGGGAAGGTTGGCGATGCGTCGGTGTCCCGGGTCTGAGGTTCTCGTCCGCGAACAAGCTCTCCACCCGCGCTATTCCCTGCGTCTTCCTTGGCTTTTCCCCTGACGCGCCTGGCTGGAAGTTTTACCACCCCACCTCGCGCCGTATCTTCCCCTCTCAGGACGTCACGTTTGACGAGTCGGCTCCCTTTTACTGTCTCTTCCCCTTACGCTCTGCCCCTCCCCCGCCCCTGCCGCTCTTCCTTGCTCCCGGTCCCCCTCCGGTAGACCCCCTCGTTCCCCAGGGTCCTGCTCCCTCGGGTGTGTCTTAGGTAGACCCTCTCCCTTGTACTGTGCCTGTTGAGGTAGCTGGCGACTCAAGTGCTGCTCGAGGTGCTGCGTCTGGGGGTGCGGAGCCTGGGGGCACTGAGTCTGAGGGTGCTGGGTCTGGGGGTGCTGAGCCTAGGGGTGCTGAGCCTGCGGTGTCGAGATAGTAGCAAGATTGGTTAGGTTGATTGGGCCTAGGCTTAGTAGCCTAGGCCAAAGGTGGGTCGAGATGGTTGGAGCCAAGGAGGCGAGGGTCGAGAGAAATGAGAAGAGGAATGATTTCACTATGGAGAGGTTCACAACATATAGGGCAGGACAAGGGGGGGGTACACCACCAAGCAGGATATCAAGATAACTACACTAACGCTAGACCTACATGCAGTTATAACAGCATAATTATGACATGCGGGTGTGGAGCCTGGGGGTGCTGAGCCTGAGGGTGCTGAGCCTGGGGGTGTTGACCCTGAGGGTGTTAAGCCTGGGGGTGCTGAGTCGGAGGGTGCGGAGTTTGGGGGTGCTGAGCCTCGGGGTGCTGATTCGTCAGGCAGTCCTGCTGGTGCTTTGCTGAGCCTGTCTCCGCGGGCGGAGACTCTCTCCCCGCAGCAGCTGCGTTAGTGGCTTGTTCGGCGCACACGCCTTCGGAGTGGAGCTGCCGGAGCTGGAGGCATTGGAGACCCTACGGAGCCTGGAGCTGCTGAGGCTGGAGGCACTAGAGCTGGTGTGCTGGTGCTAGAGGAGCTGGAGCTGTTGGCGCTGGAGCTGGAGGCAGTGGCGCGGGAGGAGCTAGAGCTGGAGGAGCTCGAGCTGTTGACCCTGGAGCTGGAGGTGCTGGAGGCACTGTGCGGCCGCGACCGTACTTCGTTCCCCTGCTTCAGCAGGTTCTTGGTGTCCCGTCTTCTTCTAGCCTTCCTCCTCCCTTACTGTGTCCGCCGCCTGACCAGTCGCAGCCGCCGTTACAGCAAGCCTCCCCACTGCCTGCTCCTTCTCCTTACACTGAGCAGACCGGCGGTCTTACAGATCGTCGTGAGCCTGCGTCTCGTCCTGCCTTCCCCGTTCGCACTAGTCGTCGCGTTCCTCGTCCGGGTCCTCCTCCTGTCCCCGGCACCCACGCTATGGCACTTCGTCCTTCCTTTGTTCCACTGCGTGTTCCTCTGCCGCCTCCTCCTGAGTCCTCTCTTCCTGCCATCCGTGACCCTGAGTCTGCCTGCGCTCGTGCTGCCAGACCCACTGTCTCTCGCCTCCTCGCCACTGTTGTCACTGACCCTTCTTTTGAGTCCACTGCTGCGTCTGCCCTCATTGCTGAGCTGCTTGACTTTGATGCTGCCTGTCGTCTAGACTACGCCAGTGCTCTTGTTACTGAGTCTGAGTCTGCCAGTCCTCCGTCCATCGGGGGTGAGTGTGCTCTTGGCACGGACGTCCTCGAGGACAGGCAGGAGGAATTTGAGTGTCTTGCAGCTGTTGTACCTCATTTCGCTTCCATGCTGCTTGCCCCTGAGGGAGACCCGGATGCACCAGACATCTCGACCCCGCGCTCTTACGCAGAGGCGATTACGGGTCCTTACTCCTCTCAGTGGCAGGCAGCCATGGATGCCGAGATGGCATCCTGGAAGTCCACAGGCACCTTTGTCGATGAGGTTCCCCCACCTGGGGCAAACATTGTCGATGGCATGTGGATTTTCAGGGTGAAGCGGCCGCCGGGTACTCCGCCTGCCTTCAAGGCGCATTACGTTTCTAGAGGCTTCAAACAGCGACAGGGGGTCGACTACTTTCAGACCTTCTCTCCCACCCCGAAGATGACTACTCTTCGGGTATTGCTGCACGTCGCTGCTCAGTGTGACTACGAGTTGCACTCTCTGGACTTCAGCACAGCTTTCTTGCAGGGCAGCCTGCACGAGGAGATCTGGCTGCGCTGCCCACCTGGCTTCACTGTGTCGTTTCATGCCGGTACCCAGTGGAGCCTCCGGCGTCCAGTCTACGGTCTCCGCCAGGCGCCTCGCGAGTGGCACGACACACTGAGGACTACACTTGCGGCTTTGGGGTTTACTCCTACTGCTGTCCCGTCGCTGTTTCTACGCACCGACACATCGCTGCCGCCGTTCTACGTCCCCGTGTACGTCGACGACCTCGTCTTTGCCACTGCTGACACTAAGGCACTGACCCTTGTGAAATCGGAGCTGCAGAAGAGACACACCTGCACTGACCTGGGTGAACTGCGCAGCTATCTTGGCTTGCAGATCACCCGGGACAGAGCACGGCGCACCATCACACTGACTCTGTCACACATGGTGCACCAGGTCCTTCAGCGCTTCGGTTTCCAGTTCTCTTCGCCACAGCCCACTCCTCTGTCTACCGGCCACTCGCTCTCAGCTCCACCTTCGGACGAGTCCGTAGAGCCGAGTGGTCCGTACCCAGAGCTTGTGGGTTGCCTCATGTACCTGATGACGTGCACTCGACCTGACCTCGCATACCCTCTGAGCCTCCTGGCTCGCTACGTGGCTCCTGGTAGGCACCGAAAGGTGCACTGGGATGCTGCGAAGAGGGTACTGCGTTACTTGTGCAGTACGTCGGGCGTGGGGCTCGTGCTTGGAGGACGGGGTTCAGTTGTCGTCACTGGTCACGCCGACGCTTCTTGGGTTGACGACTCAGCTACGCAGCGGTCGTCACAGGGTTACACCTTCAGCCTCGGTTCCGGCTTTGTTTCCTGGCGGTGTACCCGCTCGTCTTCGGTTCTCAGCTCTAGTTGTGAGGCTGAGATCTACGCTGGGGCCATGGCTGCATAGGAGCTATGTTGACTCACCTACCTGCTGACTGACTTGGGAGAGCAGCCTCGTTCACCTCCAGTTCTGTAGGTAGACAACAAGGCCATGATTGCTTTGTGTCAAGAGCACAGACTGGAGCACAGAACAAAGCACATTGCTCTGCGATACTTCCTTGCTCGTGACTTGCAGCAGTGTGGTCAGCTTCGTCTTGCGTACGTGGCCACTAGGGCCAACACAGCTGATATATTCACCAAGGCACTTCCACCTGGTGATCATCAGCGCTTCTCTACTGTGTTAGGCCTTGCGCCTACTTTGCCTCACTTGCTCATTGCGTGATTTTGCTTGTATTGTGATCTATATATATACTTGCATGCTTACACTTGCTAGGGTATGATCACTGTATTGTTTGCTCTCTTTTATATAACTCTGCATGTGAACTGGCCTTGTGGCCCTTTGCTTGTGCTCGGACTGTGTGGTGACTTTGTGATCCACCCTGAGCTTGCTTTGCTTTTCTTGACTGGTCTTGTGACCACTTGTTGTCCCCCATTTTGCCTATGGGGGTGTGTCAGAATGTTATAGTGCTTACATTTGTGTAGGCTATAGTGGAGTAGCTCATAAGGGGTACAACACAATTAGGGTTAGTACTTGTACCCAACTCTTTGATAGTTCATTCATTCTTATTCGTTAGCTCTGACACTTGTCAGATACGATATGGTGCCATGCCATCAACCCGAATGCACGTGTACGCGCGAATGCGAACAGGTAGGCTTTTATGATAGAATCCTTTCTTTCATTGTACAATATATTATTATTTCTTCTTTCTTTCTTCTTATTCTTCTTTCTTTCTTTCTTTCTTTCTTTCTTTTCTTTCTTTCTTTCTTTCTTTCTTTCTTCTTTCTTTCTTTCTAAACTATGGTAATATAAACCTAGCTGATATGGCAAATTATGTTTCACATACCATAAACATTCATAACATTCTGGAAGGAGAGCATGGATGGAAACCAACCAAAGAAACAAAACACCCTAAAGAAGCGGTACACGCTGAACTTGCATATCCACCATGCATGACAGCGATTGAGTCAGCGTTTGAGTCATGGCGCCCCCTGTCGCTGGACCCGTCGCAACGGTTAGCTGCACGACCGAATGAGAGTGGGATAACCATGCGTGCCACTCTAGCGTGCTGGCACAACAAATCAAATCAGCACACAGCCTCATTCGGTTGCCACGAGCCTTGTCAAAACCCAACCCCCTATCTGGGCAGCACCAGCAGGGGAGCCAGTGAAGGGGGAGGAGGGGGGAGTTTTGAACACCCATCCACCCGCAAGCAGCGGAACACCAAGAACTTAGCTAAGTACTCGAGCCACACCTCCAGCGGCCCACAGTTGATCAAATCCACTCTTACTATGCTCATGAAGGCTCTCATAAACTCCGGCAGGGCGTGAATCTGAGCGAATCTGAACTGCAGCACTCTGAGAGCCGGAGGGCGCCCCACTCGCCCCGGGGAAAGCTTCCTGTCGGCCGCGACTTGGGAGAAGCAGTTGAAGCGCAGGGTGTGGAGGGCGGAGAAGGCGGCGAGGGAGGAGAGCAGCGCACTCACGTCGCAGTACTTGTCGATGGGGAGGGACGTGAGGGAGGGGAGGACCACCAGTGGGACCTTGGGAGACGGGTCCTCCAAGTGGAGAAACTTCAAGGAAGGTGCGAGTCTGTGGAGCAGGTAGGAGTGGTTGCGCTTGGGGCAGCGGCTGATGAAGTGGGTGAGGCTCGGCATGGCCCCGAGCCACTGCCCGTTTCCCCACCCGAATGACCCCTCCACTCGAAAGAGCTCGAGGAATTGTAGGTTGGGGAAGAAGCAGGCGTGGGGCGGCACGCGTGCGGCTAGCTCGGCGTTGAAGGAGAAGGAGAGGCGGCGCAGCGAGGGACAGGCGAGGGGGGGCAGGTGGAGGGGGCGGTGGTCCGTGTGGAACAGCCTGAGGGATGTGAGGCTGGGGGGAAGCAGTGATTCAGGTGCAGTGGCAGTGGCAGCTGGTTGAGATGGCTCTGAGAGGGCATAGAGGGTGTTGCTGGTCCGGGGATTCGGGGTGCTTTCTGCTCTTGCTGCTCCTGCTGTTCCCTGCCCTGCCTGCCCTGTCTGCCCTGCTGTCACTGCTTCCACCCGTGGGTCGACACAAAGCGCCCCGGTGCCGATCTCAAGCTCCCTCAGAGCACAAAGCGAGGGCACGACCCGTGCGGGTTCGCTATGAGCCCATGGCAGCACCAGATGCGCCAGCAGCGGCAGCGCATGCAGCGACGTCGGCACTGCATTCCCCGCCACACAGGAAAGCTCCAGGAAGGTGAGCCGGGTGAGACGCGAAAGGCCGTCCAGGTTACCCCAGGCTTGCGCTGTGGTGGAGGTGGTTGGGGCGAGCAGTCGTAGGGTGCGGAGGGCGGTGAGGGTGAGGAGCGAGGTGGGGAGGGAGGTGGGCGAGGGGGGAGGAACGCAAGGGGAGCGTAAGTGAGGGATGTGAGGGAGGGAGTGAGGCCGGCAAAGAGGGCAGCCAGGGGAGGAAGAGGCACAAGAGAGGTTGAGGGTGCGGTGGTGCTGGCACTGTTACTGCAACCACCACCACCACCTCTACCGCCGCTGCCGCCGCCACCGGTGCTGCCGTGGCTGGCAAAGTTTGTCATGGTGCACATGGGGCATGGATGGGCGTCATCACCGGCGGCGAGGTGCAGCGAGAGGGAGGAGAGGCATGTGAGTCGGTGGAAGGGCGGGGCGAGGTGAGCAGGACAGGGCAGGGTGAGCAGCAGAGCACGGCGAGGGCGAGGGAGGAGACCTGTGAGGGCGAGGAGGGGCGCGGGCAGGTGGAGCACGGGGAGAGCGAGGTGGCACAGGCGGGAGAAGGCGGCGAGCAGGGGGGGCGAGGGGCGGAGGAAGCAGTGCGCGGACTGCAGGGAGAGGGCGCGCATGGAGGGCAGGGCGTGTAAGAGCGCTGCCACTTGGGTGGTCAGGTCGAGCTGTGGGGGAGGGTCGCTGGCCCTTCGCCCCATCTTCACCTGCGTGTGCAGCGAGTGCAGAGCACTGCAGGACGCTAAGGTGGTTACCACTTCTTGCATGTCGGTTGCTTCGCTGCCGTGCACGGTTATGGGCAGGCAGGCGGAGGTGAGGTTTGGGCACGACCTACTCCTCCGTATCAGAAATGCATGGGTGTCGAGTGATGCAGTTGGGTAAGCGAACGAATACAAATGCATAAGCTGCCTGACGAGTTTCCTGAGACCCCATTATCATACGAAATCTATATGCGCGGCAAAAAACACCCAGCAGATTTCCCTTACCCTGCCCTCCCCCCTCCTACCCCCTCACTGTGTTTCCCCTGTGCTGTCTTCTTTGGTGATCCTACCTACTCATTGTCTGGCTGTCAGATGCTGGAGCTGGTTGAAACCATGAAAGCTGCTGCTCTCAGGCGAGCATGATGTGATTTGCATTGCACACTGCTACAATGGGGAGAGATTAGCTCAAGGAGAAAAATACTGTCAAACATATGTTTATATGTTGTAGTTTAGATAGGCTTTAGTGGGGTACTCACTGTGGGGTACAACCCCTTAGGTTTCAGTTTTGTACAAACTCTCTCGACATCCAATACGACTTTTGCCTAGGATTCTAACATGGCATCTAGAGCATAGGTCCTTAGGACCTAGGATTAGGGCCCACCGTACCTGCCTGCCTTGTCTAGTGCCCGCGCGCGCCTCGGCTGCCCGCGCGCGCCTCGGGCGTTCCTTTTTTTTTTCCCACGTGCGCCGCTTCAGCAGCCCGCGCAGCCCGTTTCGGCCCCGCCTGTGCGCCCCTTAAGCCGCCCGCGCGCAACCTAGTTAGGCCACGCCAGCGCGGCCCGTCGCCCAGCGCAGCCCGCAGCTTAGCGGCCAGCCCGCAGCCGCGCACGTGCGGCCCGTCGCCTAGCGCAGCCCGCAGCCGCACGCAACTTACAGCCGCGCATGCTGCCTGCCGCCACGCGCAGCCCGCAGCCCGCGCAGCCCGTCGTCGCATGCAGCCTGCGGCCGCACGCGCTGCCCGTAGCCACGCGCAGCCTGCTGCTTGCTACCTGCTGCCGCCTGCCTGCTGCCTGCCTGCTGCCTACCTACCTGCCTGCTGCCTGCTGCCGCCTGCCTGCCGCCTGCCTGCTGCCTGCCTGCTGCCTGCTGCCTGCCTACCTGCCTGCTGCCTGCCTGCTGCCTGCCTACCTGCCTGCTGCCTGCTGCCTACCTACCTGCCTGCTGCCTGCTGCCGCCTGCCTGCCGCCTGCCTGCTACCTGCCTGCTGCCTGCTGCCTGCTGCCTGCCTGCTGCCTGCCTGCTGCCTGCTGCCTACCTACCAGCTTGCTGCCTGCTGCCGCCTGCCTGCTGCCTGCCTACTGCCTGCCTGCCTGCTTGCTGCCTGCTGCCGCCTGCCTGCCGCCTGCCTGCTGCCTGCCTGCTGCCTGCTGCCTGCTGCCTGCTGCCTGCTGCCTGCCTGCTGCCTACCTACCTGCCTGCTGCCTGCTGCCTACCAACCTGCTTGCTGCCTGCTGCCGCCTGCCTGCTGCCTGCCTGCTGCCTGCCTGCCTGCTTGCTGCCTGCTGCCGCCTGCCTGCCGCCTGCCTACTGCCTGCCTGCTGCCTGCTGCCTGCTGCCGCCTGCCTGCTGCTTGCTGCTCCTGCCTACTGCCTCTGCTGCCTGCCTCCTACCTGGTGCCTACTGCCTCCTGTCTGCTGCCTGCTGCCTCTGCCTGCTGCCTGCTGCCTGCTGCCTCCTGCCTTAAGCCAATATGGCGACGCCTAACGTTCTAGCGTTCGAGCCTGACGGTCGTCCCATCGAGTTCGCTGTGTGGTTAGACGATCTCCAGCTGTTCCTTCTGACTGATGCCAAAGAGGGTGTTTCCCTGTTTGATTACGTCTCTGGCACTGCCGTTACTCCTGCTGCTGATGCTCCCGCTCTAGAACGTTCCCAGTGGCAGACTCGTGATGCTGCTGCACGCCTAGCTATTAGGAACCACCTGTAGATTACTGAGCGAGCGCATTTCAGCCAGCACAGAACTGCTAAGACACTGTACGACGCTGTAGTTGCGCGCTACTCCTCCCCGGCCACTGCAGCCATAGGTCGACTCATGCTACCATACCTGTTCCCTGATCTTTCCTCGTTCACCACTACTGAGGACCTAGTTTCTCACCTGCGCGCTACTGACTCTCGCTTTCGTGCCGCCCTTTCAGCCGAGTTCTGCGCCGCAAACCCCCCCCCCGATGTACTTCACTCTCTATTTCCTCGTCACCCGCCTCCTTGACACTCTTAGCTCTGTCAGGGACCACTTCCTAGCGCTAGACCCCACCACTCTCACTGTCGACGACTTCGAGAAGCACCTCCTCGCAGCAGAGAAGAACATCCTCGCTGTAGGTGCTGCTCGTGGCACTCCTCGCTCTCCCCTCTTTGAGGGGTGCTCCCCCTCCCCTCTCACCCCCTCCTACACCTCCGCAGCTGCTGCTCACGACTACCTTGGAGCTGAGGGGGTCGGAGCTGCTTCCGCTCCTAGTGGGAAGCGTCGCAGCGGCAGGGGCAGCAGGGGTGGCAGGGGCGGTGGGGGTGGCGGTGGAGGTGGCGGTGGTGCAGGCGGCGGGGGAGGTGGAGGTGGTGGGGGTGGTCGTGGGGGTGGAGGCGGTGGAGGTGGTGGTGGGGGCGGCGGAGGCACTGGGAGCGGTGGAGGGGGCAGCAGCGGCAGTGGGGGAGGAGGGAGCGGTGGTGGCAGTGGTGGTCAGGGCCAGCAGCAGCCGCAGCAGCCGCAGCAGCAGCAACAGCATCAGCGCCAGCGCCAGACCCCCACTTCCCAGCAGCTTCTTGACTGGTATGCCGGACGTGGGGCTTCTGGGGGTCCTGGTCGCTGCCCCTATATCATCCGCACAGGTCCCCGCACTGGTCGCCAGTGCACAGGTTTTCACACTGAGCAGCGCTGCTTCGCTCGGCTTAGCGACGCCTGGCGCGCGAAGTTTCCTGATGCTCCTGAGTTCCCCAGCTGGGCAGACTTGCTTAGGCGTGATGTACCTATCTTTGATCTTGACTGTGACGCAATTCTTGCTGCTATGTATGCATTGTCTGTTAGTGCTGAGGGTGACTGCTACTTGTGTGTGCCGCCGGATCCTGGTATAACCCCTGGTATAGCCCCTGCAGCACTAGGTGCTTGTGAGTCTGCTCCCCCTGGTCCTGCGCCTGCACAGGCCTTGCACACCTTTACGCTTGACTCTGGTGCTTCCCGCTGTTTCTTTTGTGACAGTACCACAGTCACTCCCCTCCCTGCACCTGTTCCTGTCTCACTGGCTGACCCCTCTGGGAGCCCACTGCTTGCACAGTCTTCCACTGTGCTTCCGTGTCCGGCGGTCCCGTCTGGTGAGATGTCTGGTCTCCACCTCCCCTCGTTCTCTACGAACTTGGTGAGTACCGCTGTCCTCCAGGATGCGGAGGTTGACACCTTCACCCCTGGCCGGCAGCGTGTGGCGATTTGCACGTGCTCCCAGACTGGTCGACACCTGGCCACGTTCGCTCGTGCGCCAGGGTCCAGTCTGTACACCCTCACCACTGTGTCGCGCTCCGCCCCTTTGTCTCCCCAGTTGCACGCGTCTGCTCAGGTAGCTACACAGTGTGAGTGTCGCCGGCTGTCGCACGACACTCTCCTGTGGCGCCACCGCCTTGGTCACCCCTCCCTGCCTCGCCTGCGCAGCATGCACTCCCGCTTCCTGGTTTCTGGTCTTCCCAGGTCTCTGCCTCCCCTCCCTCCCTCGCCTGCGCCGCCCTGCATTCCTTGCGTCGAGGGGCGGCAGCGCGCCGCTCCTCACTCCTCCTCGTTCCCTCCCACAGAGGCTCCACTGCAGACTCTCCACCTGGACGTGTGGGGCCCAGCCCGCGTCCGTGGACAGGGCCACGAGCGGTACTTCCTGCTGGTTGTCGACGACTACACGCGTTACACCACGGTCTTCCCCTTGCAGCGCAAGGGAGATGTCCCTGATGTTTTGATCCCCTGGATCCGCGCTACTCATCTCCAGCTCCGCGAGCGGTTCCAGTCGGACTTTCCTGTCCTGCGTCTGCACTCTGACAGAGGTGGTGAGTTCTCCTCAGACCTCTTGGCAGCCTTCTGTGCGGAGCACGGCATCCGCCAGACTTTCACGCTTCCGGCCTCTCCGCAGCAGAATGGGGTCGCTGAGCGCCGCATTGGCTTAGTCATGGAGGTCGCTCGTACCTCCATGATCCATGCGGCTGCCCCCCATTTTTTGTAGCCGTTTGCGGTCCGGTACGCCGCGCATCAGCTCAACCTTTGGCCCCGTGTCTCCTTGCCGGAGACCTCGCCCACACTGCTGTGGACGGGGAAGGTTGGCGACGCGTCACGTTTCCGGGTCTGGGGTGCTCGTGCCTTTGTCCGCGATACCACTACCATTCCCTGTGTCTTCCATGGCTTTGTCCCTGACGCGCCTGGCTGGCAGTTTTACGACCCCGCCTCGCGCCGTGTCTTTGCGTCTCAGGACGTCACCTTTGACGAGTCGGTCCCCTTTTACCGCCTCTTCCCCTACCGCACTGCTCCTCGCCCCCCCCCCGCCGCTCTTTCTCGCCCCAGGTCCTCCCCAGGTAGACCCCCTCCCCGCGCCAGGTCCTGCTCCTTCAGGTGTCTCTCAGGTAGACCCCCCCGCGCCTGCGCCTGTTGAGGTCACTGGTGACTCTAGTCCTGCTGGGAGTGGTGCTGTCCCTGGGGGTGCGGAGCTTTGGGGTGCTGAGTCTGGGGGCGCTGAGCGTGTGGAGCTTGGAGGTGCTGCGTCTGGGGGCGCTGCGTCTGGAGGTGCTGCGTCTGGAGGTGCTGCGTCTGGGGGTGCTGAGCCTGTGTGTACGGAGCCTGGAGGTGCTGAGTCTGGGGGTGAGTCACCTGAGGGTTCTCAGACTGCTGTTACGCGGTCTCCTTGGAGTAGCCGTCTTCGTCCGCGTGTGCCCCTCACCTCCCAGCAGCTGCACGACTGGTACGGTCGCCGTCAGCGTCACACTTCTGCACCTCAGGGCTCTACTGCTGGGGGTTCTTCTACTGGTGTCGCTGGTCCTGGAGGTGCTCGTACTGGGGGTTCTGGAGCTGCTGGGGCTGGCGGTGTTGCTGCTGGAGGTACTGGAGCTGTTGGAGGTGCTGGAGGTTCTGGCGCTGCTGAGGGTACTGGGGCTGCTGGCGGTACTGGACCTGGTGAGGGTGCTGGAGCTACTGGTGGTGCTGGTGCTGCTGAGGGTACTGGAGCTGCTGGAGGTGTTGGAGCTGCTGGAGGTGTTGGCGCTACTGGAGGTCCTGGAGCTGCTGGTGCAGGTGGCACTACTCAGCCGCGTCTGTTCTTCACTCCGCCGTCTCCGTCGTCTCAGCCACCACCTGACTCTGCACTTCGCCAGGTTCTCAGTCTTCCCTCGTCTACTGGTCTTCCGTTACCGCCTGGCTCACCGCTGCCTGCTCCTTCTCCGTACACAGAGCAGACTGGGGGCCTTGCAGAGCGTCGTGAGCCTGCGTCGCGTCCTGTCTCACCTGTCCGTTCCGGTCGTCGTGTTCCTCGTCCGAGCCAGCCGGCTGTCTCCGGCCCTCCCCTTGTTGTTCGTCGTCCTTCCTCTCCTCCGTCGCGTGTTCCTCTGCCGTCTCCACCGGCGTCCTCTCTGCCTGTCGTTGCTGACCCTGCGTCTGACCAGTTTCGTGCTGAGCACTCTACTACCACGCGTTTGATTGCCACTGTTGTCACTGACCCGTCGTTTGAGTCTGCTGCTGCGTCTGCCTTAGTCGCTGATCTTGTTGACTTTGCTGCTCACTGTCGTCTAGACTACGCCGCCAGTCTTGTTGCTGAGTCTGAGTCTGTCTGTCCTCCGTCCGTCAGGGGTGAGTGTGCTCTTGGCACGGACGTCCTTGAGGACAGGCAGGAGGATCTTGAGTGTCTTGCAGCCGCTGCGCCTCATCTCGTGGCCATGCTGCTTGCCCCTGAGGGAGACCCGGATGCACCAGACATCCCTACCCCACGCTCTTACGCTGAGGCGATCGCGGGTGAGTACTCCTCTCAGTGGCAGACAGCCATGGACGCAGAGATAGCATCCTGGAAGTCCACAGGCACCTGCGTCGACGAGGTTCCCCCTCCTGGGGCGAACATTGTCAGTGGCATGTGGATTTCCAGGGTGAAGCGGCCTCCAGGTTCTCCGCTTGTCTTCAAGGCTCGTTACGTGGCTCGAGGCTTCAGTCAGCGAGAGGGAGTTGACTTCTTCCATACCTTCTCCCCCACCCCGCAGATGACCGCTCTTCGGGTGCTGCTGCATGTTGCCGCTCAGCGTGACTACGAGCTTCACTCTCTTGACTTCAGCACAGCCTTCTTACAGGGCAGCTTGCACGAGGAGATCTGGCTGCGCCGCCCTCCTGGCTTCACTGGGTCGTTCCCTCCTGGTACCCAGTGGAGCCTCCGGCGGCCGGTCTACGGTCTCCGCCAGGCGCCACGTGAGTGGCACGACACACTGAGGACGACACTTGCGGCTCTTGGGTTTGCTCCGTCGACTGCTGACCCGTCACTGTTTCTGCGCACCGACACTTCGCTGCCGCCGTTCTACATCCTCGTGTACGTCGACGACTTGGTCTTTGCCACTGCTGACACTGAGGCTCTCGCCCTGGTGAAGTCGGAGCTGCAGAAGAGACACACGTGCACAGACCTGGGTGAACTGCACAGCTATCTTGGCTTGCAGATCACCCGGGACAGAGCATGCCGCACCATCACACTGACTCAGTCACACATGGTGCAGCAGGTCCTTCAGCGCTTTGGCTTCACCTGGTCCTCAGTACAGGCCACTCCTCTGGCTACAGGTCACTCGCTCTCAGCTCCACCTTCGGACGAGTCCGTAGAGCCGAGTGGTCCTTACCCAGAGCTAGTGGGCTGCCTCATGTACCTGATGACCTGCACTCGTCCTGACCTTGCATACCCTCTTGGCCTTCTGGCTCGCTACGTGGCTCCTGGTCGGCACCGAAAGGTGCACATGGATGCTGCTAAGAGGGTACTACGCTACTTGTGCAGTACATCGGGCATGGGGCTCGTGCTTGGAGGACGGGGTGACGTTGTCCTCACTGGTCACTAAGACGCCTCTTGGGTTGACGACCAGGCTACACAGCGGTCGTCACAGGGTTACACCTTCAGCCTTGGTTCTGGTTCAGTTTCCTAGCGTTCTACACGTTCTTCTTCAGTTCTCGGCTCTAGCTGTGAGGCCGAGATCTACGCCACAGCCATGGCTGCGCAGGAGCTACGCTGGCTCACCTACCTGCTGACCGACTTGGGAGAGCGGCCTCGTTCTCCTCCAGTTCTGTACGTCGACAACAAGGCCGCCATTGCCTTGTGTCAGGAGCACAGACTGGAGCACAGAACAAAGCACATCGCCCTCCGTTACTTCCTTGCTCGAGAGCTGCAGCAGCGTGGCCAGCTTCGTCTTACTTACGTGGCCACTCGGGCCAACACTGCTGATATATTCACCAAGGCGCTTCCGCCTGGTGATCATCAGCGTTTCTGCACTTTGTTAGGCCTTGTGCCTACGCTTCCTCACTTGCTGTAGGCTTTGTTTGTACTGTGATCTATATATATACCTGCATGCTTGCTCTTTTAGGTAGATATCACTGTGCTGTTGTTGTTACATATATATCTCTGCATGTGAACTGGCCTTGTGGCCTTTTGCTTGTGCTCAGACTGCGTGGTGACGTTGTGATCCACCCTGAGCTTGCTTTGCACTTCCTACCTGGCCTTGTGACCCTCTGTTCTCCCCCACTTTGCCTATGGGGGTGTGTCAAACATATGTTTATATGTTGTAGTTTAGATAGGCTTTAATGGGGTACTCACTGTGGGGTACAACCCCTTAGGTTTCAGTTTTGTACAAACTCTCTCGACATCCAATACGAGTTTTGCCTAGGATTCTAACAAATACCATTGGTGTTCGCATATCAAACCGTTTGCAACGTTTTGGTTGCTGATTCTGATTGAAGGAGATATTATTCAGTGTTCCGCAGTGCGATTTTGATCAATCACAAGCTGCAATGAAATCACACTTCAAGGTACTACACTTTCCTGGGATTCGGGTTGATTACTGTTTCTGGAGTAATGATAAACTAACAATGCTATACACTTATAAAGGAGAGTGCCTTTTGCCCTTACCTCTGATCTTGCAGCATTCACAAATTAAATGTACGAAAAAAATCAGCTCAGCAATTACTAAACTACTATGTACAGTCACATCCAATCTTATCAAAGGTACCTAAACGTCAAGGTGCATAGAGAGCACATGATGCAACCTTCCGTTGCCACGCAAGGCCATTGGAGCACCCATTGCCCAGCCACTTCGCCCCTCCACACTATCACTACTCATCAGCTGCATTGATTCTCTACCTGCTGCTACAGGCACACTCCCTGACGCCTGTGCCTGTGCTGCTGGGGGGCTGAGAATGGTGCGTGGCTGTGAGGAGGCAGAGAGAGAAGGGTGAGAGGGGAGCGAGGAGGGGAATGAGGCCGAGGAGGTGTGAGGGAGCAGGGCGGAGAGAGAGGAGAGAGTGTGAAGGTCCGGGAGGAGGATTTCTCGCATCACTCCTGGGAGGCGAGGGTCGTGTGGCTGGAAGAGGGCCACGAGACGGCCGCCACACCCAAGAAGCTGCTGCAGCCTTGCGGATTTGGCAGAGCTAGCGTTAGCAGCATTGGTACCGGCAACAAGACTGGTAGCTGCACCGTTGCTGGCACAGCTTGGAAGATGTGAGTTGCGTGCAGCAGAATGCGAGTTAGACCATGTAGTTGGTGGGCGGGGTGGCATAGGTGTGCAGGATGGCATAGGTGTGCAGCAGGGTGGAGTGGAACAATATTCCCCATGCGAGCCCCTGCCACAGGGGTGACGGAGGTGAGGGGACGGACGAGGAAGAGGAGGACGAGGCGGGGAGGGAGGGGGAACGGGAGGGCCAGCAGGGACCCATCTCCTCTGAAGGTGGTTGAAGAGAAGCAGAGAGTGGTTTGGGTCGAGGGAGCAGAGCACGGAGTAGGTGGCGGGTGCGGTGTGCTGCGCTGCTCTGCTGCTGTATGTGCTCGTTGGGCTGTCTTCTTCTCCTGGCTTTGCAATCACATCCAACACAGTCACACCTGCTACAGTCACAGTATCTGCTTCAGTCACATCTGCTACAATCACTTGTGCCACGTGTGTTTTTGTCCAGATGGCATGGATGACGTCAGACTCCTCTACCACCCTCCACATCTCAGCGCTCCCCCAGTCAACCTCCACCACACCTGCCTCTGACACCATGCTACCACCACCAGCCCTACCGCCAGTGCCAGTAACACGGTTACCAGGGCCATGGGTCGTGTGAGCAGGTGGAGCTGGTCTGTGTGCGTGGCGGTTGAAGCCTCCTGGGTTGACAGCAAAGTAGGGCGACACGTGCCGTCGCACAAACACCCGCCCTCCAAGGACAAGTGAGTCGAGCCTTGGGAACTGATAGTACTGCTCCCTGATGCTGCCTCCGTCAGTCAAACTGCAACCGCTCAGCATGCTGCTTGTAACTGCCCTGCTGCCCCCGCCGCCACCGCTGCTGCTGTCGCTGCTATGAATAGACTCTGATCTGCTGTTACTGGCACGCTCGTCATTGTCACATTCGTCCGCACCGAATCCGTCTGCAGGCATCGCAATGCACATCGTGCACACCCCCAGGAACGGGTGGCGCACGTGGCTGCTAGGAGAAGCCCCTGGAGGTGAACTAGCAGGATGATGCTCAACTACCCTCCCTTCTGAGGGGCGAACAGCAACTCTACCACATGAACCAGCAGAGCTCCCCCTTGGAAAGAACGGCACAGGACAGCCTCCAACAACCACGAGGCAATTCCGCCACCCCAAATTACTGCGCCCCGCACATGCCTTTTGTATCGATCCACAAGTCCGCCCCTCACTCGTTGCACCCATTGCAGCCACCACGGGGTCCAATCTAGGAAGCATGCACGGCTGCTGCACAGCAAACCACGCGCCCATGTGCCAGTCAAACACTGACACGTGGCGCACGTGCTGCGGCCTGCCTGACTGGGAAGGCACGGCGCCACCCACGATGGCGAACCCGGTTCCGGGAATCACCGTGGCAGCAGCGCCGTAGCAGGCTGGGTGGGCGTGGGGGTTGGTGGGGGGAAGCGGGGGCAGGCGGCGCCACCTGGGGAATGCCTTGAGGTCCGCAGATGTTCTGCAGGGATCGCAGGTATTGCGGGCTTCACACACGCAGCAGGCGAACCACTGCAGTCGCTGCCTGCCTGCGTCTTCGCTGCAGCTGTACTCGCTGCTGCTGCCGTCGCTGCTGCCACCGTTGCTACCACCCACGCACACCACCAACACTGCACCCGGGCTGTCACAGTGGCCCTCGCTCTCGCTCACACACGCCTTGGAACCCCCTGGGCCGGGCAGATGAGGTCCTGAGTGCATCGGTGGTAAGCGATTCTGGGAGCCACTCAAAGGACTAGTGGGCAGAGAACGAAACCCCCCCTCATAATCCGCCAACCCCTCCCCCTTCTCCTTCCATTTCTCCTTCTCCTTCCCTTTTCTCTCCCTCTTCTGCCTCCCTTCCGCCCACCGCCGGCACAACCTCTCCCCTCGCCCCGCAACCGTCCACCCCCCTCTTTCCGCGCGGACGCGTCGTCGCAGGCGACCGAACGACTGCCTGCGAATCGCAGCCGCCCAGGCGCGCGACACGCAGCGAGCGGCGGGCAGGTCCCAGAGGGACAGGCGCGCGAGACAGGCGAGCGCGAGGTCGTGGGGCAGACCGGGGAGCAGATGGCACTCGGCGGATGCAGGGACGGACATGATAGGGAGCTTTGAGACGTCTCAAAGGACGGCGAGCAGTTAGTTGGACCGGCCAGAGGCAAAGACGGACACCGTAGTGCGAAGCTCCCTGGCAGGCGCTGCTTCCGTTTCAAGTCGACTCAAATGGCACCCCAGCGGCGGAGGCGGCGGCGGAGTTGGCACGGAGCTCTCTGGCAGGTGCTGCCGAGTTTTGCTTCTGCTCTGACACACAAGGCCTCGCCGCGCCTGGCGGCGGGAGGGGTTTTCCGTTCAATACGGGCTGCGCGACGACCAGCTGGGCGACGAGCGTGCGACGAGGTGGGCGACAGGATACGACGAGGCTGAGATCCCTGTTAAAGAGGATTGGAACAATCAACGCGATAAAGATTCCAGATGAGATCTTAAGAGATTCTCATCGATATGGCTTGGCTGTCGAGCTACTGGTGCTTCTGCTTCTGCTGCAGCTGCGGGATGGAGCCGCGAACTAAAAAGAGCCGTCTGTGGAGCGGCTGAAACAAGAGTCGAGCGAGGGGAGTCCGTTCTGCTCTGCACCGACAGCCTTGCTTGGCTCCACCCCTTCCGGAGCGACATACGAAGCTTGCGTTCTGATTGTGGCGGAGCGCTTCCCCCGCACGGGCGCGCCGCCATGGTTCGTTGTGCCGCGACGTCAGGCATCGGCGAGGGCTACTCGCGGCCCGCCTGTGATTGCCTGGCGGGGCCGCAAAACAACGTCAGCATCTCGCATAGTGGTTTGAACATTCTCAATTACAACCTGTGATTGATTGCCTGGCGGGACTGCGAAGTGCGTCACCGTCATGGCACCATAGCATCATCCCCAGTGAGTCATTCTTGAGCCTGCGAGGCAACTCCATCAGGCGGCTCCATCTCCCCTCGATGTTGAGTCTACACGCATGGGATAACGAACGCATCGCTACCCACTGCGTCAGAGCGAAGGTTATATTTGAGGTGCGCAGCGGATGCCTTTCAACCCGTCGTGTAAAGCTCGCAGGCGTTACACATGGCTTGGCCATTCGGCACATGGGAAAGCTCATGCACACGTGAGAAGGCGCTCGAGGTACTCGTTCTCACGTGATGGGTGTTGACTAATACAGTATCGCGGTGTGGGTGGGCGACCCAGCAGGCAGCCATGATGATGTTGGGGAGTCCTAAGGGTTTTACACAAAAGCTGCCTGGGAGGGAGGAAGGCAGTGTCGCCTCGCCACCATTGTCGCCAGCGTTGTCTGCAAGCTTTATCTCTGGGTGTTTCGTGTAAATAATATGAATTCATTACTGTAGAGGCTGCTCCTAGCGAGGACAGCCCGAACACTTAGCGTCAGTTTGGGTTCGGCCTAAACTTCGGCCCGAACCACACCATGAGTCGCTCCGCACCAATCGCGACACCTCCAAACCACGCACGTTCCGAGGTCCGCGCCTAGCCAGTATTCGTCCTATAAATGCTCGTTGTATTCATTGTATTGTCATTCTGTACTCACATCATTTTTATATAGTCTTCCGCGCACTCCGTTTAGTACAAATGTTACGAGTGCAACTGAGTGAGCGAGCGAGGATTGCATTATCGAGGCAAGAATACAATGAGCGAAGGATTGAGCGAAGAATATATAGCGAAGCTACAGTGGTAACGATAACGTGTGGAAAATGGGGTGCGCGCCGGGCCTGGCGCCGGGGTTGGGGATTGTCGAGGCGAAGGTTTGGAGCGCGGGTTACCAACCGAACCGTGAGGTTGGGTCGCATCGTGAACAGTGGCGGGAATTGTGTCGAGGCGAATGTCGCGAGTGGTAACGGATTATTGTGGGGTGCTGTTGGCGGGAACAGTGGCGTACGCGCTGAGCAGGGACGCGAAGTAAGGAAAAGGAATTTTCCTTACACTACCCCCCCCTTAAGGAGGCCCTTCTTACGAAAGCGCGTGTACATCCCTGAAATTCCGGCTGCGCAGATACTCGGTGAGGACGGAGTGGTTTTCGATTCTGTCCAGGGGAACCCAATTGTCCTCGGTGGGCGTGCAGTCTTTCCAGCGGATCAGAAATTCGACCCTTCGAGCTCCTCGTGGGTCACGAACTCGGTGGCTCAGAATCTTTTCGGGCGTGATGATTGCTTATGTCGGCGGTCGTGTCATGCTGGCTAGGCGGTTGCGGGGCAGTTGGCTGGTGGATGGGACGTAAGGGCGAAGCAGGCTGACGTGGAAGGACGGGCTGACGTACCAGTCAGCAGGGAGGAGGAGGTGGGCGGTGACAGGTGTGATCATGTGGCTGATGCGGAATGGCCCGCAATATCGGGGGCGGAGTTTCGGGGTGATGGGCAGGCGGAGGTTTTGAGTGTCAAGTAAAACTAGGTCGTCGGGCTGGTAAGTGACAGGTCTGCGGTGGCGGTCGGCGTTGCGCTTAGCGATGACGTTGGCCTTTTTTATTGCCTCAGCTGCCCTAGTTCGTGCTGCTTGTAATATTTCTGCGAACTGTTGCGCACGTGGTACTAGGTTGTCGGGATTCGGGGTCATGGGTACTACAGGGTCTTGTCCGTAGTTCAGGTAAAACGGTGACTGTTGGGTCGTGGCGGATGGCGAGTTGTTGTACGCGAATTCGATGAGTGGCAGCTGCTATTCCCAGGTGGTCGGATCGTCGCACGTGGCTCGGATGAGTTGTTCCATGGTCTGATTTGTCCGTTCTGTCTGTCCGTCGGTTTCGGGGTGGTACGAAGAACTAAATTGCAGTCTCATGCCGAACTGCTGCCACAGGTTCCGTCAGAAGTTGCTGGTGAATTTCGTGTCGCGGTCGCTGATGATCGCTGCTGGTATCCCGTGTAGTCGAACGACGGTGGAGATGAAGAGGCGGGCTGTTTCTTCGGCCGTGATTGATTTTTTGCAGGCTGCGAAATGTGCCATTTTCGTCAGCCGATCGACGACGACCAGGATCACGTCGTTCCCACTTGCTCTGGCCGATAACCCCGTGACGAAATCCATCGTCACCTGCTGCCAAGCACGCTCTGGGGGTGGTATCGGCTGCAACTGTCCTGCCGGCTGCTTCCGTGATGATTTCATGAGTTGGCAGGTGGGACACGATGCCACGTGTCACTGTACGTCGGTCAGCATTTCGGGCCAGTAATAGTACCGCTGCAGCTGCTGCCGTATTTTTTCTACTCCAAAATGCCCTGAGGTAATTCCTTCGTGTGCCTCCTTTAGTAATGAATTCCCGTAGTAACGTGTAGCCTGGTACCCAGATTCGGTCGGTGCCGGCTTTTACATAATAAACTCCTTTTGCTGTTGCGAACTGCTGCGAATTTCCTCCTGTGAAGAATGGGTCAGTCTACTAGCCGTGGGTAAATAGTCCTGCCAGTAGTGGGCTGGTTTGGGCGAGTAGTATGGCGTGGAGTTGGGCTGTGGGTTGGGTTAATGCGTCGGCGATGTTCGATGCCCCTTTTTTGTAGGTGACCGTGTAGTGAAAATTGGACTCGAGGAAGTCGAGCCAACGAATTTGTCGTGGGTTGAGGTGGGGCTGTGCGCGGAGGTACTGTAGTGATTTATGGCATGTCCGTACTGTCACGTCTGCGCTAGTCAAGTAACAGCGCCACACTTTGAATGCATGCACGATCGCGAGCATTTCGCGGGCGTGTATCGGGTAATTTTTCTCAGGCGGATGCAGTTTTCGTGACTCGTTTGCGATGGACTGTAAACCGTTGCCGAAATCCTGTAGCAGGATGGCTCCAATGGCGATGTCGCTTGCGTCGGTAACCACTTCGAATGGGCGGTATGGGTCAGCGATGCGCAGTACGGGTGGTGAACAGAGAACATTTTTCAAGGCAGAGAAGGCAGCATGTTCTTTCCCCCCCCACGTAAAAGCGAACCCCTTTCGCAGTAAGTCCGTCAGCGGGGCAGTTAAGCGTGCCATGTCGGGGACGAACCGACGCACATAATTAACGAACCCTAAAAAACTCTGCAGCTCCGTGATGTTCATCGGGGGGTGCCACGCTTTGACCATGTCCAGCTTCTTTGGGTCGATTTCAACTCCAGCCTCCGAAATAATGTGCCCCAAAAATTCTAACCTATCCTGGAAGAACTCGCACTTGGAACCCTTGGTCAGTAGTCTGTGGTTGTCTAAAACCGTAAATACTGCTTCTAAATCGGCTAAGTGCTGCTGCTTATCGCGACTGTAGATGAGGATGTCGTCGAGGTAAATTATCACGCATTTATCTAAGAGTGGCCTAAACTCCTCGTTCATGGTCATCTAAAATGTCGCCGGAGCGTTGGTCAGCCCGAAAGGCATCACTGTGTACTTGAATGACCCGTACCTAGTCCTAAATGCCGTCTTGGCACAGTCCGATGGTTCGACCCGAATCTGATGGTAACCTCCCCGTAAACCGATTTTCGAAAAGACCCGTGCTGTTCATAGTTGATCTATCAGTTCGTCGGCTCAGGGGATGGGGTATCGCGATTTGACTGTAACCCTGTTCAGTGCTCTATAATCGATGCATATGCGAAAACCTCCGTCCATTTTCGGTGTGAACAGGATTGTTGCGGTGAACGGCGACGAGCTCGGTCGGATGATTTTTTTCTCTAACAAGTAATCTAACTGCTTCCTCAGTTCGTCGAGCTCGGGCTGTGTCAGTCTGAACTGTCACTATACGGTTGGCTATGCCCCGGGTTCTAATTCTATACGGTGATCGTGTGCCCGCTGAGGTGGCAGTCCCTCCGGTAAGTCGTCGGGAAAAATCCCCGGGTACCGTTTCAGCAGTTCCTGTAGTTCGGGTGGTACTGCCGCCAGTAGTTTCTGAAAATCACTCGGCTGCTCTGCTTCTTTCACCACTGCGATATCCACCGCGTACACGTCAGCTCCAGCGGCGACAGCCCGTTTCATTGTCATGGCGTTGACGTGGACCGTTGAAGACTCAGGCGACTGCCAGCGAGGTAGTTCAACCCAGTTACCGCTACTTCGCACAGTCCAGCTACCCGTCGTCCAGTGGATTCGCGGGTTGTATTGTCGCAGCCAATCACGTCCCAGTAAAATGTCGTG